TCACCTTTGGGCAGAAGCTACGAACACGGCAGTTTATCTAAAGAACAAAACATCATCAGAAGTTATTGGAGGTCACACACCGTACGAAAAGTGGTTCAACAGAAAACCAACTCTCGCGCATCTAAAATTTTTGGAAGTGAAACATATGTTCATGTACCCAAAGACCAACGTTCCAAATGGGAGAAAAACTCCATTAAATGCATTATGGTAGGTTACAATGACGATAGTAAGGCCTACCGTGTGTACGAACCATCATGTAAACGTTTGTTGATTCGGAGAGACGTGATCTTCGATGAGAAACATAAGCAACAAGTAAATGAAGTAATTGAAGTTGTGACAAACAAAAAAGGTGAGAATCAAAATCAAGAAGAAAATCACAACGAAGAAGAAAATAATGTTCAGGTAAAAAGCACGAGCGCGCCAATGACCCGCAGTCCATACAACACAAGACAAACAAGTAAATTACAACAATATAATAGCGAAGAAATAATACGTGGTGATCTTTGCGTGGCTGAAGTCGACCCAAAAAGCTTAGAAGAAGCATTAGCATCAAATGATCCCCAAAACTGGTTGAACGCCATTAGAGACGAAATCGATTCACTAAATAAAAACAAAACTTGGAAATTAATACCACGTGAACCTAACATGCATGTTATAACAAATCAGTGGGTATTGAAAATAAAATACAAATGCAATGGGAAAATTGACAAATATAAAGCGCGGTTAGTGGTTCGTGGTTGCTCTCAGAAGAGAGGTATAGATTATGACGAGATTTATTCACCGGTCGCAAGGTACGACTCGATTCGCTTTATTTTGTCGATAGCAGCTGCCGAAAATATGAATATGATCCAATTCGATGTTAAAACTGCCTTCTTGCATGGATATCTAGAAGAAACCATTTATATGGAACAACCATACGGTTTCGAAAAGGATGATCATGTTTGCCATCTGCAGAAAGGTCTGTATGGATTAAAACAGGCGTCTCGTCAGTGGAACAAGATAATAGTAAATTTCTTGTTGCAATTCGGTTTCATGCAGACAACAGCTGATGCTTGTGTTTTCACCTACAATTCATCTGACACTGTAGTATATTTAGCTCTATACGTTGACGATGGTTTAATATGTGGAAAGTAGGGATGGGTAAATTCGATATTCGAAGCTTCGATATTCGAATTTTAATCGAATTTTAGCTCCAAAAGGGCGAATTTTTGAAATCGAACTTTGTGTTGCTAAATTTCACCTTTATTTCAAAAAAATCAACTCTTCAGCTTTGTTCTTTCTGACCAAATTTGCCATCACTGTGTGCGGCACTCCATTTGTCTTAGGGATTCAAGTAAAAAAATACACGTTTTTCGATCTGATGCATAAAAACGAAAAATCAGTGCCAAGAAGGAACTGTTATTCAAAACTCAATTTTAAAAATTTTTGTATAAAAAACTGGTTTATTTGTTGATTTTTTATTTAAAATTTTTAGAGTGTTTTACGTTGGTAGCATGGAGCTTTTCCTGAGAAGACCCCTAGTAAAATTTTCCGGAGAATAATTTTTTAAAATATATCAATCCAGTAACGGATCTGCCAAATTTGCTTTTTGCGAGATTTCTTGAAGTAAGTGTCAAAAATTACCGTTTTAGGCGAGAGCTAATGGGTTAAAATGTTCTACGAAAATATTTCCTAACAAATTTTAATATATATGTCTCAACCTTTAGCGGGAGCGATTATTTGAATTTGATTTTCTAACCTGTGGTAACCAATTTCATAGAACTAAAACTATGGTGCAGACACAAAAGAGAAGCCTTTAGTTCGAGTCCTAATTTTTTTAAATTGAACGATACAGATTTTATCACTTGGTGTTAAACATTTAACGCAAACATCTCCGAACTCGATTAAGAAGTCGCACTTCAAAAAATTTTTCAAAATTCGAAAAAATTCGAATTAAATCGAATTTGCACCACCCAATTTCGAATCGAATAATCGAATGGTTGGGCAATGTTCGAAATTCGGAAAAAATCGAATTTCAACCCCCCACTACCCATCCCTAGTGGAAAGGATTGCGAAGATATAAATAATTTATTGCATTCTTTGAAAAAAGAGTTTGAAATTACAAACAATGAAGCGGAATATTTTGTTGGATTACAATTAAAAAGGATGAGAAGAAAAATGTTTTAAATATATTTCAAAGTGTGTATACGAAGAAAATTTTAGAGCGATTTAACCATATCAACTGTTCACCTTCACCAACGCCTGCAGAGCCTGGAATGAAGTTATCGTCTTCTGCAGTTGACTCCAATAAGAAAGTGGAATTTCCCTATAGAGAAGCAATTGGATCTTTAATGTATTTGATGGTATGCACACGTCCCGACATTGCGTACGTTGTTGGTGTTTTAAGCCGATACGTCGAAAAGCCTACGACTGTTCATTGGCAAGCAGTTAAACGAATTTTCAAATATCTTAAGGGTTCAACTAACCATGGTTTATCATTTCCACTTAATTCTTTTTCTACGCAGCTTACAATGTACTGCGATTCTGATTGGGCTGGTGATATAGATACTCGCCGAAGTACAACTGGCTGGGTTGGTATATTGAATGGTGGTGCCGTGTGTTGGAGCTCACGCAAACAGTCCGTGACTGCGACTTCAACGACTGAAGCAGAATTCATAGCCCTGTGTTCGGCAACAAAAATTGTCAAATGGTTACGAAAACTTTCACTGGACATGGGCGTACATCAAGTTGGCCCTACTCCATTGTGGTGCGACAATCAACAAGCTATTTCTCTCGTCAAGAAGCCTGAGGCCTCGAAGCGAACAAAACATATAGACGTGCAATACTTTTACACCTGCGATATGCTAAACCAAGGCGTTATTGATGTGAAGTTTGTGGAATCCAAAAATCAGACAGCGGATGTTTTGACAAAAGCACTCACAAAAGACAAGTTTTTTAGGTTTGTAAATGATTTAGGTATTGTGAATTGTAATTAATTAGTAATTAAAGAAAGCAAGAGGGAGTGTTGCGGATATGCTTTCTTGATACTAAGTGGCAACATATTGTACTTGTTTGACATTTGTTTTGGCATAAATATTTTGATGTATGAATAGCTTCCGCTTTAGATCTCCCCTTTTTTGTTCCTGATTTTCGAGAAACTCGCATCGCAAACCTTAATCTCTATCGCTAAGTATCCAGCCACTCATTTATTATATACTAAATAATATAATTGAATTAAATATAGCAAATAAGCTATTTTGGATTGTACACCTGCGTTTTAATCCTGCGGTAATTTGCAAGTATTTGTAAACACAGGTATAGTGTAAAATTCGTTAGTGATCTCGTGCTGCAAATTTCTTAAATATATGGCCTCTTTACAACAATCAGATATGCCCATATATTCGGCTTCTGTACTGGAAAAAGCAACAGTACATTGCTTTTTAGTTTCTCACGAAACTGCACAACCAGATAACTTAAAGAAATACCCGGTATAAGAACCTCTGGATTTTTACCCTTTCGGGGTGCTCGCCAGATGCGTCTCCAATTGCCAAATGAGCCAACCTTTAAATCTCAGAGGCGAATTCCTGTAAAGTCTCGTTGGATTTCTGGCAGCGGTTCTCCAGCTCCATCTGGTAAATCTGTCTCCTATGCTCGCTACCGTAACGTCTCTCTACAGCACTCATCAACGCATCGTAACTGTTCCTTTCACAGTCGGGAATAGTCTGCAAGATTTCTGCCGCAGGTCCTTTCAATGCAACGAATAGTGCAGCGGATTTATCCTCCATGCTCCAATGATTTGCTGCAGCTGTCTTCTCGAACTGGAGCTTAAAGACCTGGAAAGGAATCGTGCCGTCAAAGGATGTAGTCTTTACGTTGGGAGCACTTGTCGAAGTAGCTGGACGATTCATCTGCAAATCTCGGAGGCGACCTTCCAACTCTTCTACCTTTGCTTCGACTTTCTCCTGTCTCTCTTCAAGTTTGTCCTGTATTTGTGTAATTTTTTCATCCTGTGCTTCCAGCTGTGATTATGTGCGTGCCTCCTGTGCCTGTAGCTGAGTTTCTAACCGGGATGACACCTGCGCTGATACCTCTGAAGATATACGTGTCCCCAAGGCTTGCATCTGTGAGGAAACGTCTGACGACAAGTGCGACCTCTGTTCCTGCATCATCTGTGACATGGCAGCCAATAACGTGTTCATGTCCATACCTGTTGATGAACTAGGAGCATTTTGCTGTTCTTCAACCTTACCGGCTGTCTGCTGCAAACCCTTCGACGAACAATCAGCCTCATCCTTCTGTTCGTCCTTCGTTGATGTCGTATCGTCCTCACGAGGGAAGTCGTATTTGTCAACGTCGATACCTTCCTTTTCCATAGCCTCTCGCAGCCGTGATAGTAACTCTACTTTCCTTCCGGAGGTTGCTAAATTTCGCTTCTCCAACTCCTGTTTGAGTTCCTCGATCTTTAGGTCTTGAATTTTTGCCATTTTCAAAAGTTTATCCTTCGGGATTTATTTAACAATCCCACTTCTGACACCAATTGTTACGATTATCCTCGAAACCTTTAGGGATTTCCCAAATATACTCGGGCTCGTATCGCTGGATTGTTAAATAAATGCTAACGATGACCAAATTGTAGTACAATTAACTTTATTGTACAACAAACAATTTACAATATTCGCTAATACAGTAAAAACACTTTACAATACTTGCTAAAGCAATAACAACGCCTTACTAAGTTTGTTAACACAATTAAACTTGTAGCTTGCTTATTCGCAACTCACTTCTCTGCTCACTCTACTTGTAGCTTGTTGACTTGTAACTGTCCAACTCCGCTGTGTCGTGGCTCTTATATACCTGCGCTCGTACGCATGGCAACTCTCGAACGTTCTGAAGTTCATCGCTCTTTCTCTCGCTGTTCGCAGTGTTCATCCAACTTGACGTTTCTCTTTATGGAACATTCTACGTCATTCCTCGAACATTCTGCCTATTTCTCGTTGTTCGCTAAATGTTGCCGCAGTATTCGGCACAGTTTGTTTTGTTTCCTAAGTGAGGAAATTTTAATTGACAGCAGCGACAAATTAATACATACACAAACAAATTTTTGGTTATGAATTGTTTTATTCAAGTTTTTGTATTGAATTTTTGATTTAAAATGTATATTTTTCTTTTTCAGTCGGGTTTTTTGCACATTATCTCGTGAGAATTGATCGTAATAGATACGGAACTGAATAAGCGACTGGAACACGGCTCTTTGTCGAAAGCACACGATTTCGAACTCGCGTAAATGTACATTTGCTAAATGCGATAGCATGAGCACTCTTCGAAAAAATATGTTCGAAAGCGCTAAATGTTGCATTTTAAATGCAGCAAAAACGCTGCATTAGGCTATCTGCACACTTGTCGTCTAATCATAGTTGCGTTATCGTCTCGCCCTGAAATTTTGAGCCGAGCACATGCATTTCAAAGGAGATCTGCACACTTGTTGTTATCGGCAAATCGTAGAAGATGCAGAAACAGATAAGTACGGCACTGCCATTTGCTAATCGTTGTGCACGCATTGTTTGTTTACATTTTATGGGGAAAAATTAGTGAAAAAGCTAATATTTGCATTAAAATTGCATTGGCATAAAATCTGTCGAAATTATTAAAAAGTGGATAATTGCAATAAAATTCAATAGTATTGAACGTTTTAACTATAAAATATGACGAAATTGTAAAAAGTCTCTGTGTGCATGCACAAAATACATTTCAGGAAAAGAAAAAAGAGATATTACTGAAAAATTATGTCTAGAATTGTTGCAGCACAGTCCATATTTTATAAATTGCAGGTTTTTGTAAATATTTCGCGAAAATATCAACCAGAAAAACAGAAAATACCTGCTTCAAGTAAATATTTAGACTCCAAATGAATTGAAATATCACGACCGAGTGTGCGAAAATGTAGTAATCATGTAATCGTTGTATCATGATTGTGACGATGAAGTAACTATGATTGGACGACCAATGTGCAGAAAGCCTTATAAATGTTACGCCAAGCCACAAAGTTTTATCTGGCATCAGCTTTAAGGCTCTGTTATGCATGAACCAATTAGAAAGATCTGACCGGTTGAAGGGCAGCCATTTGCAATTGCATTTGAGAAAAAAGTACTTAAGAATTTGACGTTCGTAGTTTTGAAGTTTGCTATTTCTGTATTGTTGTTTACATCTCTTTCTTAATACGTATTTTGGTGGCGATTTATTTCAATAGCAAAAGTGATTTTTTTAGAGATTTTCAATACATTATTTATTCAAATATAATTAAAATGAAGTGTGCGGTAATCGGTTGTAAAAATACGTACGAAAATAATAAATCCATTAGCGCACACAAGGGGTGGGTTTTGGGGTTCAAACCTCCCTAAAGCTAATAACTTCAAATACAATCTGTATCTTAAAGCTAAGAATCCAGCTCTCAAGGAAATTATAAGAAATATTTATTATAATTTCTGTTGCTTGAAAAAGCGCTTTGCTTTTGCTGTAAATTTTCATGAGGGAATAAAAATACGAACATTTTTTTTCTTGAGAGCTGCAAACTGATTTATGAAATTTTGATAGAAGAAAATTTCTTTTCCATTTCTCGTCCGTCGTTTTATATGAATTTTTCGTTTTTCTTGAGAGTTCAGTTAATTTTTTCGGTATTTGAAATATTAAAAAAAATTAGCTATCGTAAAAAATCACCATCTCTATCGAAAACCAGAAATCGAAAAAATGAATATAGAAGTGCAAAAATTCATGGAATCAATAAATTTATTTTTACTGACTCTTTTTTAAAATTTTTTATTAGGTACTTTTGAAAGTTGAGCGCAGCTTGAGTTTATAGAACTTTTTATTAAACAAGTAGTTTTTAAGGAAAGAACACAACCGACTTCAATTCTCATATTCAAATTTAGGGGTACCGTTAATTTCTTCATGATCCAATCATCGGATCTCTAAAACAAATTACGGGACGAACCTTGAGGTACTATCATTCTAATAAAAAAAGGATTATTGAAAACGGTTCACGTGGTCCAAAGTTATGTATTCCGGCGAGATGATAACCTCCCTTTTTTTTGAAGTCGGTTAAAAGCGTTTGAGTTCTGTTACTCTGTAAATAAAGTGCAGTTTATGAATTTTAAAACGTTTATTTATTTATTACATACTGTACATATTTAAAACTTGCATAAATGTATTTTAAAGAGGATATTATCTGAAGCAAATTTTCAGTTTTTTCCGGTGATATATCTTCAGAAATATAAAACCCCCCCTAAAATATATTCCTGGGTGCGCCCCTGAATAAATCGGTTAGCTTCCATGGCCTTCCGAGGGACGAGAATTTGGTCCAAATGTTGGTGCACTTTTGCGGTCAGCCCGTTGAGAAAACTGCGAAAGTTTTCAGCGAGCATTTCCTCCAAAATGACTTTGCAAATAATATGAAAGTCGAAATGGGTAAGTAAATGCTTGGCTTATATAGTACATACTAAAATTAAAATTTATAGGACTGGCGACATGTCGTAAACTTCTTTGGAGAGCTATTCCGAGCGTTAACAAAAACCGGACTGACGGTAAAGAAACCTGTGGCCGTCAAGGTCGTCCAAAGTGGACTATTGCAGATTTGTTGGAGGCTGCCGATATAATTGCAGAACAAGAAAGTTCTACCGCGCCTGCAAGATTACCGATATCGGAATTATCATCCGAATGCAACCCGCGACAATATCCCCAAGAGTTGACTATCGGTGATTTGTTGGATGCTGCCGATATAATTGCAGAACAAGAAAGTTCTACCGCGCCTGCAAGATTGCCGTTATCGGAATTATCATCCGAATGCAACCCGCGACAATCTCCCCAAGAGTTGACTATCTCAGATTTGTTGGATGCTGCCGATATAATTGCAGAACAAGAAATTTCTACCGCGCCTGCAAGATTGCCGTTATCGGAATTATCATCCGAAAGCATCCCGCGACAATCTCCCCAAGAGTTGGAGCAAAAAATGTAAGTTAAACACTTATACCTACATATATATGCTTGTTGCTTTAAAGTTATTATGTTCCACAAACGCCATAACACTTTATAGAGAAGTACTGAAACGTGAGGCAGAGGAATCACAAAAACTATTAAAACTAAAAAGTAAGTATATATCGACATCTCCACACTATACTATCCTAAGTCTGTAAGTCTAACGTGACTTTGCATGGTATGGTTTGGAGGTCTCGATATGTAATATCGAAGTTACTCGCGTAATTTTAATAATTAAATATTGTACAATTTCCTCCAGGGAAGCGATTTCTTGCGATAATCGTCGCCTACAAGACTGCTGCAAAACGCGATTGGAGGAAAACACCCAATTGAAGAAGAAAATGTGAGACAATGATATCATTATATTTAATAGGGTTACTCAGTTCCCGTAGCATTTTAGGTGTAAAGTTGCTACGTTGTAATCTAGCACGCATTTTGTTAATGGAAAAGCAACAAAACATGGGGTAGCAGCTTTACACCTAAAATGCTACTCAACGTGAGCTCCCCTTATATAAATAACTTCTGTGATATGTAGCGAATCACTGATCTGTGAAAACTTTGTTTTGCGAGAGGCCGAAAAGGCTTGGAAAAAGAAAGTCTCTTCTCTGGAGGAATGCGCGAAAAGAGCTAAATTCGAGCAAAACAATATCGAAGAAAAGCTTCTGGCGATATTTACTCCTGGTCAAATCCGAAAGCTGAAACTCGGAAGAAAACAATTAAAATGGTCCGAACAAGACATTTCTCGATCAATCACCCTATACTCGACCAGCGCGTAAGTGTATAAGGTGCTTAGGAAAAAGTGATTTCCTCTTCCAGGGGTTAGCACGCTACAATTCTGGGCAAGAAAGCTAAACATTACTACCGGGGTAATTGAGCCCGTAGTTAAAATTTTTTCCGCAGCGAGTCAGCTCGATACCGTCCAAAAAATATGTGTTATAAGCTTTGATGAGATGAAGATCCGAAAAGCGTATTGCTACGACAAACCTTGCGACACAACGTACTCACCAGTGGATTATGTACAAGTGGCTATGCTCCGAGGTACGATATAAATAAATTAATAAAATGACATAAAAAATACATATCCTCTTTACAGGATTGGTGTCTAAATGGAAGCAGCCCATCTTCTA